ATCATTCCCCACCAATGCCCATCATTCCCCACCAACGCACATCATTCCCCATCAACGCCCATCATTCCCCATCAACGCCCATCATTCCCACCAACGCCCATCATTCCCCACCAATGCCCATCATTCCCCACCAACGCACATCATTCCCCATCAACGCCCATCATTCCCCATCATTCCCACCAACGCCCATCATTCCCCACCAACGCCCATCATTCCCCACAAACGCCCATCATTCCCCACCAACGCCCATCATTCCCCACCAACGCCCATCATTCCCCACCAACGCCCATCATTCCCACCAATGCCCATCATTCCCACCAACGCCCATCATTCCCCATCAACGCCCATCATTTCCCACCAACGCCCATCATTCCCCACCAACGCCCATCATTCCCCACCAACGCCCATCATTCCCCACCAACGCCCATCATTCCACACCAACGCCCATCATTCCCCACCAATGCCCATCATTCCCCACCAATGCCCATCATTCCCCACCAACGCACATCATTCCCCACCAACGCCCATCATTCCCCACCATGCCCATCATTCCCCACCAACGCCCATCACTCCCCACCAACACCCATCACTCCCCACCAACACCCATCATTCCCCACCAACGCCCATCATTCCCCACCAACGCCCATCATTCCCCACCAATAATGCCTATCATTCATTCAACAGGTTTAAATACAATTTTCAAACAGGAACAAACAAAGTTCAGCAACAGAATTAATTGCCAAAGAGTTGATAGTCAATAATGAATACTAAAGACACAGACAGAGACACAGAGTTTAGTTTTGTGAAATGACTGATAATAGGCCTTGTATTAATATTTGCACCAATATATAAGTGAGTTACCTTTGATGTAACATCTTCAACTTGCTGATTGTATTCTTTAATTTCTCGTTCTATACTTGTTACCATTATACGATGTGTTAATAAGTATTTAGTATGTTCCTGTATCTTTGCTCGATTAACCACAACATGTTTCTGATGATCTTCTCTCAGTTCAGTTAACTCATCTGCTAAGTCAGCAGAATTACCAAACTTAGGAGCACCAGCAAATTCCTTCTCAAATTCCGTTATCCAACTTCTTTCTTCCTCCAGCAACTTTTTCAATGCTTTCCAACTTTCTGAAGCTTCACTCATCATCTAAAAAGTGAATATACTTTTTCTGATTCTTTTCAACAAATGGAAACAAATAGATATACACAATGTAGAAAGTTAAAACAATGAAGTACCTTGTATCTATTCTGGATGTTCTCTTTGAGACTTTTCCACCTTTCATTTAATATTTCCATTTCTCTTGACAGAGTTTCTTTTACACTAACTGCAGCTTGTAGAACAATTGGCTTGCCAGTTGAAATAATAGCATCAATATCCTTTTCTTTTTCCTTTAATTCATCATTTATTTTCTGTAAAAGGAAAAGAATATAGAGGTATGTGTGAGGCTCTAAATCGATACTCCGGAATGCGCTGGCACATTTCCCAAAACAGACATTGTGCGCCACCATTCTGCGCTGTATTCTGTGCCGTATTCTGTGCCTCTCATTCTGCGCCATCGAGAAAATTCATACTGTGTCCCAGTTCAAGCTTTTTAAAAATGTAAAATCATAGACTCATAAACGACAATGATTTTCAAGCCTGTTTATCAACGCAAACTGAATGTTTCGCGTGAAATACTGTTATACAATATTTCTGGGAAATAAGTACAAAGCTATTGGAAACAAGTAAATTAATGTAATCGGCTAGCTATAATTAGACAAATTTTCAAAGGGGTAGTGCAAGGAGCTGAAACAAAACCTTTTTTTACCGATTTCGAGCCTCACACATTCCTCGAATATAGTCATATTGGCTGATAAAGTATATCTTGTTTGCTCAATAGGATCATGACAAATTATGAAAAGCCATCAGAGATAGCAGATCTTCCAGTTTTGTTTAATGTTGATTGGGTAGATGCAACTGTTTTATTGGATATTGTTACTGGATATAGATAACACAGTAGGGCATATTTCATTTTGGGAGTGATTAGGCTAGCCAATCAGCATCCATTTTGAAAGTGATTAGATTAGCCAATCAGCATGCAATATCTACATCATATTTCCATTGGAAATGTATGACCATCAAACACATCGAGTTACAATATGATGTACACTGTAACCTCGCTATAACAAACTCTTTTATAACGAACTTCCGGATATAAGAACACACTTTATGTTCCCTGCATATTAATGAGGTAACAGTTTACATGTACCGGCTCCGGCAAATCCAGATGTCACTCAGCTGTCACCTACACCTAATAAATGATAGTATTCTTTTTACATCATTATTCTTTTGTTTACGATCCTTTAGCATATATTCACAAATTTCCATTTTCACTTTAGTGCGGTGCGATAGAGGGTTTACGTCTTTTCTCCCACGTGTTTGCTTTCACACACCATTGTCAGCGCCATTTCGCACCTTTCGTCGGTATACTTTATCGTGATTTCTGCTTATTGCTGGTCCAATCATATCTATGAATTCTGTTTTAAAAGAGAACTCATTTGCCATGGAGAACCACTCTTACTCGAGTTTTTACTCAGTGAACATCGTCTCTCATCGTAATCGTAAATTGTCTGCGTTATCAAGTTTTATTATGGCTTCTACACCGTCCAGCAAACGGAAAATCCTGTCCGTTGAAGATAAACTCCGTATCATCGATCATCTCAGCCTTGGCAAAAAAGCAGCAAACCTGTCACGTGAATTTGGCATTCCCAAGAGTAGCATATCGACATTTAAAGCAAAGGAAAAAGGAGTTGCGAGCTTTTGTTCACAACTGTAGTCAGCAGAAAGGTCTGAAACGAAAAAAATGCGAAAGGAAAATGACGGCGATCTTGATCAAGCAGTTTATTTATGGTTTGAGCAACAACGGGCAGCCAACATCCCTGTTTCCGGTCCCCCATGGTTATGGAAAGAGCAATCACCTTATCCAAAGAAATGAATGGTTCTGATTCCAATTTTACTGGTTCTACCAGGTGGCTTTATCGGTGGAAGAATTGTCATGGTGTCCGCGCTCTGAAAATTTCCTGTGAAGATAAATCTTGTGATGACACGGTGGCTGCCGAGTTCATTCCAGAACTCTGTGACATTGTCGAGTCAGGAGCATACTGTCCTGAACAAATTTACAATGCCGATGAAATCAGACTCTTTACCCGACAGAACATTAGCTTCGAAAAAAGAGGACAGACCGACAGGATACAAGCAGTTTTATTAGGCCGTATAACAATTCTTGTTGGTACGAACACGTCAGGGAAACACAAACTGCGTTCCATGTTCATTGGCAAGTTCCAGAACCAACGCTGCATGAAATATGAGAAACTTCACCCCTCAGTTACAGTTACAGCAAAAATGCTTGAATGACATCGGAACTTTTCAAGAATTGGTTCCACGAAGAATTTGTTCCATCGGTACAATCATTTCTTCGCCTCTAAACTTTGTACACAAGACGGCAAGATTCATACAGTTTCGTTAAATACAGCCAATGGACGCAGGAATTATTTCTGCACTGAAGAAACCCTATCGCGAAAAACTGCTTCACGAAATCATTACCCAGGATGTCATAAATTTGCAAGATTATTTTAAAACATTGGACATCAAAGAAATGATCTACGTCACCGGTGAAGCCTGGAGTGAGGTGACGTCATCAACGATAAACAAGTGTTAGAAAAAAAGCTTGGGGCCCGCCATTTTCCCAGTCAATGACCACTTGGAAAATGATGATGATTCAGAGTTGGATGAAAACGACATCCCATTGTCAGAGATCGTCAGAGATCGTCAGAGATTTGCAGCACATCGAAGAGGTCAGTGGCGAAAACATGTATAAAGTACATGTATGTGCCAAATTTGAATGAAAACTGACAGAGCATGTCCAAGATACCGCATAAAAACAAGTCATTGAAAATGACACAGTCCCCGTTAAGTTCTCTTTGTGCTCGTCATATTAAAGCGAAGGGGTTGTCGCGAGCGTGTCCTTGAAACTTGAGTGCCAAGTGGCGTATACAACAGATTGTTTATTTACATCAAAACACGTGTTTCGTGTCATAGTAATATAGCCAAAATAAAAACAGCCGTTATTCAGCCATCTTTGATCTGATTATGAAACACACTGATATGTATGATGTATGTGCCAAATACGAATGAAAATGGTACATAAATTGTGGAAATATAGTAGTAAGGCCAAAAAGTCAGATGGCTGTCAATCGGCCATCCTTGACCAGATTTTGAAACAAATTGTCATGGATATGCATCCTAACATGTATAAAGTACATGTATGTGCCAAATTTGAATGAAAACTGACAGAGCACGTCCAAGATACCGCATAAAAAAACAAAAACAAGATGCCTGCCAGTCGACCATCTTTGATCCATCATGGACATGTATCCTAACATGTATAATCTATGTACCAAGTTTGAATGACAACTGACAAAGCATGTCCAAAATACAACATTTTCAAAAAACAAGATGGCTGCCAGTCGGCCATTTTGAATCAAACAGCTAAACCAATTGTGAAATAAATCATCATGGACATGTATCCTAACATGTATAATCTATGTACCAAGTTTGAATGAAAACTGACAAAGCATGTCCAAAATACAACATTTTCAAAAAACAAGATGGCTGCCAGTCGGCCATTTTGAATCAAACAGCTAAACCACTGCATGTGCATATGTCCCACATAAGGTACTAGGTACATGCAAAGAATGAACGGAATCGGTCCACAGGATTCTGAAATATGACGTTGGATAGACTGACGCAGGGACAGACGGACACACAGACGGACGGACGGACAGACTCAGGAACTCATGGACGGTCGGGGACATGTATCCTAACATGTATGATCTATGTAGTAAATTTGAATGAAAACTGACAAAGCATGTCCAAAATACGACATGTTCAAAAAACAAGATGGCTGCCAGTCGGCCATTTTGAATCAAACAGCTAAACCAATTGTGAAATAAATCATCATGGACATGTATCCTAACATGTATAATCTATGTACCAAGTTTGAATGAAAACTGACAAAGCATGTCCAAAATACAACATTTTCAAAAAACAAGATGGCTGCCAGTCGGCCATTTTGAATCAAACAGCTAAACCACTGCATGTGCATATGTCCCACATAAAGTACTAGGCACATGCAAAGAATGAACGGAATCGGTCCAAGGGATTCTGAGATATGACTCTGGACGGACGCACGAACGGAGACCGAAGTCCGAAAACAGGGACTAATAAAAAAACTGCAATGACTTTATTGTTTTGCATATGAATACGTTTCAATTATGGGTGTCAATACGAGCAATGAATAGGTTTCAATTATGGGTGTCAATAAGAGCAATGAATAGGTGCCGATTACAGGTATCAATACGAGCAATGAATAAGTTTTAATTACGGGTGTCAATACGAGCAATGAATAAGTGTTAATTACGGGTGTCAATATGAGCAATGAATAGGTTTCAATTATGGGTGTCAATACGAGCAATGAATAGGTTTCAATTACGGGTGTCAATATGAGCAATGAATAGGTTTCAATTACGGGTGTCAATACGAGCAATGAATAGGTTTCGATTACGGGTGTCAATACGAGCAATGAATAGGTGTCGATTACGGGTATCAATACGAGCAATGAATAGGTGTCGATTACAGGTGTCAATATGAGCAATGAATAGGTTTCAATTACGGGTGTCAATACGAGCAATGAATATGTTTCAATTATGGGTGTCAATACGAGCAATGAATAGGTTTTAATTACAGGTGTCAATACGAGCAATGAATAGGCTTCAATTATGGGTGTCAATATGAGCAATGAATAGGTTTCAATTACGGGTGTCAATACGAGCAATGAATAGGTTTCAATTACGGGTGTCAATACGAGCAATGAATAGGTTTCAATTACGGGTGTCAATACGAGCAATGAATAGGTTTCAAAT